TAAATACCATTTAAGGATAAATCTACCTGTAATTCATATGAAACACAACTCAATTTATTGCTTTCTATTTTATTATGAAAGTTCTCAAATAAATGCAGTCCAATGCTATGGGTTCTCTTTAGTTTTGTTTTGTACAATTAATGCTGGCAAGACTCACCCATGTGGTTGCATGTGTCTTTGTCTTTGCTGCTGGAACTTCTGTGTAAATTAGTCTATACATTCTCATGCTATTCATTATTGAGTTGCTTCACAATATAATTGACACTATTCAAGTATATTGTGTTTATTCTTTCTGTCAAGATATTTGTCTTTGTATGTTGATTCACATAAGAAAATATTTTCCTCAGTTACAGATTCTCAAGCATTTTGTCTCAGGTTAGCTTTGTGTTCTTAACTGTTAATGGAGAATCCAGTAGCTTTTCCTTTATGAATCATTTACATCAACAATCTTTCTATTTAAGGATAAATCTACCTGGAATCTATATGAAATCTTTTACAATTTATTGTTTCCTTTTTTGTGAAATTTGTCAAATGAATAATAAAATAGGAAAAATTTATCTATCTATTCCTGAATCAGGGGCAACAGACCAGACCAAACCAAATGGAGTCACTCATGTCAAGTGCCACATAATGAGAAAGACATGTCACATATTACATCTGAGAGTTTTCAGTCTCTTTGGGGTCTGAGTTAATCTTGGGCTGGTAGATATTCTAAAATGAATGTAAAAAGGATAAATAGATGCAAGAAGTAAGAGTTCTCAGTAGGATGGCATTTGGGCAAAGCCTGTGAGGGGCTACTATTATTATTATTATTTTATGGTGGTTCTGCCTGCCTGGGAAGGGGCCAATCGAGGTGGCATGGGAAGAGTTTACTCTAAGGAATGCTCATGTCTAAATGGAGATTAATCAGATCAGGATCCAGTCCTAGACCACTGTCTTCACTGATAATTACACAGCTATGAACTGAATAGAACATGACCCAATGTTTACAGCCTGCAAATATCACCTGCTGACCATTCTTTTCTAGTTGGAAGGTATCAAAGGTATTTCTTTCTATAATATCAGATGTATAGTGGAGAACATAAAGACCCACCAATTTCTTATGTGTATTCATATGCCAAAAGAAAATTTAAAATGTGCAAATTTCAATGAAAAAATAGAAAAAGAAAATCAAGATCAGTTTGTGCAAGCTTTATACTAGAAAAATTAAGTGTATATATGGTGTATATATTCTCAAGAAATAAGATATCGTTTCAGGGATAATATGGACAAGCAAACAAACCAACAACCACAACAAAAGTATAGAACCACTATACGTTTAAAATGAAATTTAAGTTTTCATTTTAAATTCAAATCCCTCAAGAAAAGGGCACAAAGCCTCTGCAAGACAGACCAGCCTCCGGGACAGTAACTTTCTTATTGTAACAAGGCCCTGCCAGAGAAATCCTGAAATAATGACAACCTGTGACCACCTCTGTCCTCTGAGACACACCTCTGACTGGGACTATTTAATAATGATGAATACTCCTCTCTCCTTGCCCTAGTGCTTCCTCTGTTTAAACCTAAAGATCATGGCTAAAGTGGTTACCTTATCCCTTCACACAGTGAACTGTATTGCATTGATAGAGATCCTTTCTGTGCCCTTTACCACCATTAGTCTCTTTAGTTGGGAGAAACCAAATGTTTTTAATGTGTTCACTGACAGAGAAAATAAAATTTTAAAAAATTCCCACAGAAGAACATTGGCTAAGAAACCACACATACACACACTCACATACACACATACACACTCAGACACACTCTCACACATACACACACACACACACACACGCACAGATACTGTTGCTTAACTATATTTGAATCACCACAATGAAACTGATGTGTATTTTAGGAACAACTTACACCATTTTGATAACATTAAAATAATATTAAAACCTATGAAACATTTTTTTGTCAAATACATATTGCATTTTGAGTGGACATTGACTAAATAATGTTTATGTGGACCTGCTGACATTGTGCCTATGGTTAGACATCTTACAGGGCTTGTTGTAAACATATGACAAAGATAGAATTCATGGATGGCCCTATATTTTATTTTATTTCTTTTATTTTTTGTAATACTGTGGGCTTGCTAGGCAGGCACTCTACCATGTGAACCACTCTGCCAGCCTTTTTATTGGTAGGTTTTTTCGAGATAGGATCTCACAAACTATTGCTCCAGTTGGCTTCAAACCACAATCCTCCTGATCTCTGCCTCTTCAGTAGCTAAGATTACAGATACAGCCACCAGTGCCCATCCCACATTGTATTTTAGAAAGCTACTATGAATGTTTACTGCTTCAGCTGCTACTATATATCTCTTCTAAAACATGGTGGAGTCCTTCAGCTCCCTGAAAGCTGTGTGTAAACATGCAGGAGTCTTTCCAGGTTACTTTTCTCTACCTGAAACTGTTGGATCAAAATATGTTTGAAATTTCATATTTTTCAGGTAACTACCTGAAAAGCAAACAAATAGTAACACAGTTTTTTGGGGGCTCCGGGAAGACACAATCCTTTATTTCCAAATTTGATATTTCAATTCATTACACTTAATCTTTTCTCAGCACTACTCAAAGGTAATGAAAAGTAAGTTAAGTGTGTCATGTAAAATAAGGTGAAAGTGTTAATTTTCTGGTTACTTGCAAAGCAGACGCTCTACTGCTGGAGCTAACCTTTGGTCCTTATGCATCATTCTTTAGTCATTTTTTGGTGGGACTGGAGTTTGAACTCAGGACTTTGCCCTTGCTAGGCAGGTGCTCTACCACTTGAGCCACATCACCACCCCTATCATTCTTTTTGCTAATGAAGTTAGGATAAAGCTCATTAGGCCTTATTGGTTACACTGAAATTATATGGAGCTTTATTGTTTGCAAGGGATCACAAAGTTTACTAGAAAAGGAGTTCACATCTGTTAGACTGAAAACAGATGGTCTACAGGGTAAGAGAGAGAATGACAGCAACTTTATTCTAATTAAGATTCTGGCGATCACACCCAGGGTCTTGTATAGACTACACAAGTGCTCCTCCACCGAGCTGCACCCTTACCCCTATTACTCATCATTCTTACACAGATTCCTCACAGACTACCTTCCATCACATAACCATTTAATAATTTTGAAAATTAAAAATTTAAATCAAAAGTTGATCCCACTCCAGAAATCAGAAGAAATAAAACTGTTTAATCAGATAGGGAAAAACATTTTCTTCCTACTGCAGAAAACAAAGATCTGAGAGACACGGGTATCACTGCTGATGAGGACAAAGGGGCTGAGTGCTGGGAAACATGCAGCCAGGAACACACAATTGTCCCCTAGCCACTGGCTTGGATTTGCTTTTAGAGCAACACAAACTGTCAACACAGAAGAGAGACAGCAAAAGAGTCCAAACATGCTCACCAGGATCAGGATGGTACACGTGGCTCTGGACTCATGTCTGAAGGAGAGTCTGTGGCTGTGAATGTGTTGGTCTTGCTGCTTGTGTCTGTGCAGGACAAGGACCATGGAGCCACTGGCCCAAAGCCCAAACATGCAACATCAGTGGAAGAGAATAAGACTGCATGTAATAAACTAGAAATCTTTTTGGAATGCCCAAGTACAGTATCTATAATTCATGCTCACACTTATATTTTGGCTATGTCTTGGTCCAGTAACTCTTATAGGAATATAGACATTTACTAAGAGTTGCAGGATCCAGAAAAAGAAACCATAAAGACAGAAGTATTTTGTGAATCTATTTCTGAACTTCAACCAAGAGTTTCCAGAGCAAAGCTTTGTGGCCTGGAAGCCATTCAAAAAACAGGTGATGTTAAGAGAAACTCCTCTGGTTACTCTGTGCAAATATAAAACAACTTTACATCCAGAATCATCCAGGAAATACTTCCATCCAAGGGCTGCCATTGTCTGAGGGATCCCTCTAGAGAAAAGAGCCAAGTTGTTGACTAAGACCAAATGGCCAAGAATCAGATCTGTGGGTCTTATTTTTTGTCCAGTGAGCAAATTGAAGTTATAATGACAAAGGAGAGAAGAGTTTCCCAGGATGCCTGCTCCAGTCTGTAGGAGAAAGATAATCCCCATTTCCATGTTGGCATGATTGATAATTTTTATTTCTAGGAGATATAAATTTAAATTTGAGAAAAAAAGAGGTGGTAGAAAATAGCATGTTACAGTCCTCTGCCCAATAATCTGTATTGATCAATCCAATACATGTTTCTCCTCTCCTAGAACATGTTTTCTTTTTTCACTTTAAAAATATATGGTTCGGGGCACACTGGGTATTAAAATTTTACAGAGGAATCAAGTTCAGTGACAATTTCAAGGATCTGTTAGAGTAAGTAATGAACTGTTTGCAGAATATAAGCTCCAACAGGTGTAACATTAAACAATGATCATCTTGAATCATTTATCAGGTAAACTTCCAATTATACCTGAAGTGAAAAAAAGTTAATTGCAAAGAGTAAGTATAGCATGCTACATTTTTCTTATGATTGTGATGAAATCAGAACATAAACATACATAAATTCTCACATCCCCACCTAGCTATGGGTAGGTATATGTATATTTGAAATAGTAATAAAGTATGAATGAAATATATACTTTTAAGAAAGATGATACAGAGGAATAGAGACCAAAAAGTGTACAGGAATAGGAACAGAACCTAGATGTAGATGGATTTACCTTATAGAGGTGACTTTTGTACAAATATAAATATGTTATATTTAGACTACATTATATTAGGTAATATGTGCTACATAATTATCTAACAATATTGCATAAAAACTCACATTTGATGGTAAAGTTGAAACAAAACACACAAGAGTGGTTGTATAACAAATATTTACCCAAACAAAATCATAATCTTCAAGTAATTTTAAAAATCAGCTATTTAACTTTTTGAGATGTAACTTCATTGTGTGCACTAGGACAGTCTTGGACTCCCTGTTTAAACCTTCCAAGCAGCTGGGGCTATACACTACTATGCCTGGCTCAGATATTTTTAAAACTTTTTACCTATGTTTCTACTGAATTATATAAATATATATGCATATATATAATATATGTCATATTTATACAGGCAAAATACCTAGTTTGAACTCAAGATTGTATCCATGACAATATTATTCATAAAATATTGTTATTAACATTTTATAGTAATACATAAGTATATTATCTTACCAGAACTCACCTTTCACTAAAACAGAAAAAACAGAACTTAATTAAAAATTGCATAATTTTAGACTTACTTGGGAGAATAAACGTGAATTTGATCTGAGTTTGAATGGAACTATGTCTGTATATTGCTTCACTTGTCAATAACCAAATCAACGTATCACAACCTTGTCCTGAGTAATTACCACCAAAATTCTCAGGCCATGTTCTTAAAATGCAATTTACAACATAAAGAAAATGTGTCTTAAATTGGCAATTCAAGGTCTGGGAGAGGAAATACTTTAAATGGACAATCTGTTTAAATCAGGATGCAGGGGAAGTCTATCAGAGGATTGAAAATAACCTCCCTTCTCAATATTGATTATGTTAAACATCAACGAAAAATACCTGGATAAGATTAAACACACATTAAGTATTTTAAATTCCACAAGCTTCTAATGATAGAGAACCACAGTGATTAAGCTTTCAGGAAGTTGAGGAACTCTCTAGTTATTCTAGACACTGTAAAATATAGAGGAATATCAATATTTTCTCCTGTACTTCCAGCAGAAGCATTACCTCAGGGTCACCAAATACAGGATAAGGAAAAGTCCTCCTCTGTAGAAGAATTCCAAGTGAAAATGCGGAAATGGTAATAGAACAGCACCATTTTGCTTCCTCTGACAGGGTAATGGATCTGGGAATGATCATCAGTGAGAACTAAAACCAAGGATGGCAGGCTGGTGGGAAACAGAGTTGGGGGGTTAGCAACAGTGAGTGGATTTGAGGATCAGCTGTCATCACAGAGGAGGTCCAATGCAACCTCTTGTGGGCAATGAGGAAACATTCTACCTAGAGTATCCCTGACAATAAATAAAACCTGACATGGATTATCCTCTAGAGTAAGTGGTGAATTTATTAGCAATATGGTAGAATATCAAAGAGTACCATACGATAGTAGAATGATGGAAATTACTCTAAGCAAATTATCCAGTTTCTTCTTTACAAGAATGGGGGAAGGAGCTGGTGGAGTGGCTCAAGTGTTCGAGCACTTGCCTCACAAGCATTAGGCGCTGAGTTCAAACCCCAGTGCTGAAAAAAAAGAGTGGGGGAAAAGATAGAAAAATAAAAGGGAGATATATTGACGAAGAACTCTAAAAAGGCACAACAACTAATATGACATTGGTACAGTACTGAGATCAAGATTCAAACGATTCAAACCTTTAAAAGTAATATAAAATTAAGAAAATTTACAGAGTGTGTTTGATGATATTAGTATTGTAGTGACAAATATATCTGTGATCCATTCTTGAATGAATTTCATATTTAGAGATACAGTCATGGGTTTTTTTGGATATGATGAAATAATTGGAATTTTTCTGCAAATAATCAACTAATCCAACATGGGCAGTGAGAGATGAAATGAAAAGGCAATGCACTGGTGTTTAAATTGAGGCTTGTGATTTATTGCTGCATTTAATTGTGCTAGTCTCTTTATTTTTTGAATATATTGAAAATTTTCTATTATAAATATGATGTAGTAGCTTTCATATTAGTTTATATATTCACTATTACACATATTATATATTTTCCAAACAAGTATTTTTTTATGAAAACACATGTTTATTTAATGGTTTCATTATTACAGTATTTTATTTTTAAATATGTATCTCTCCAAATTTGGGAATCAAATATTTAAATGAATTTGGTGTTCAAAATGATCAGAAAAATGAACACTGAACCTGAAAAAATAAACTCTGACTAATATATGAGGATTTCTAAGCTCTGCTAGTTAGTAAAGATGCTGTCAGATAACCACATAATTGTTGTAGGAAAACTGCCAGTAATGAAATATGGAAAACCTAAATTAACATAAATCCACTCAACACACAAACTGGTGCAATTTAGAAGAGGACTGTGAATGGCCAGCCAGAGTGTTGTATGAGATAAACATATTTTTGGTCATGGAAAAAAATGCAGAAATAAAATCTAAAATAAAAATAATAAATGTCGCCACATTTTAAGGGTTGACACCCACTTTGAGAACTTTTCTCAAAGGTCAGCTTGCTCAACTGGATGGCGAATCATGGGGATATTTTCAAGTGGATCTGGAGCAAGACAACTGTAGCAGTCACCATGGTATTGACTCACTAATTTCCTGCTGTGATTATTACAGTTGGACTAAATAATACCTGTGATGTGTACCTATGGTAGATGAAAAAATATTTATGTTCACAAAGGTTTACTTGAAGAACACTATAGTATTGCATAAACTATTATTTGCATCAATCACATGAATGTTGATACATAAAAATACTTGATAAAATGGTGAGAAATCAACCATATACTCTCACCTTAACCTCCTTCATTCTCCCTCCCCCTCCCACTAGTACCCCATACACTTAAGTGGGATAGGGAGGGGGATGAAGGGGAGAGGTGATGGGGGCGATGTAACTAATGTACAATATATGCCTAATCAGAATTGTCACTATGAATCCCCCCATAATGAATTTATCTTAATAAAAATATATTTTAAAATGGTGAGAAATCAACAGATTTCTTGCCCATAGGACATGTTATTTTTAAATAAAAGAAACTGTCTTAAACAAAGGCAATGAAATTTTTACTAAATAATTATAAGGAACATTGAAACAAAAGTAAAAACTCTTAATGCAACCAACATTATATTTAAATAACAAGAGACATACTGTAGACTGAAAAGAAAAATCAAGTATTGCACATCATTCAATTCACAAAGGATATATGCTACTAATAGCATAACAGTTAACTAATTTGATTAATAGCAACCAAATGTAATCTAAATGTCCTCAAAAATTTCATAGAGTTAAGAATGGGGAAGTGGCTCAAGTGGTAGAGTGATTGCCCAGTTCAAAATCCCAGTACCGTTAAAAAAAATCAAAACAAGTTTAAAATATGCAATGAAGAGAATTTACCCTGACAAAGGTAAAATTCACTAGCAACAGCTTTTTCCAATATACACATTTATACTTAGCTCAGTAACAGAATAGAATGTCTATAAACACACACACACACGCACACACACAGATTCACATAAAATTTAAATTATTTGTGAATAATTGACTAGCTATATCACATCAAGTTTTTGAGATCTTTCTGTAAAATTTAACCTCACAGTAGTGAACTATAGAATCTAGATCTCAAAACAACAAACATCCTGATATTTTTACAATTGCTGGAATCCATTGTCATATGTAGCACAGGGAAGTGTCCATTTTCCTTCATAAGAATAAAATAACAATGAAAGTAAAAATAGGCCCAAATTAAAACTGAACCAGAATAAAATTTGTAAATATGTAGGTTGTAAGAGAAAAGCTATTGATAGGCACATTGGTGCTGATCCCAATTAGTTACAGAAAAGACTGGCATATGTACAGGCAGTCAGAAAGATGTATTTCATAAGTGATAAATATGCCAATTAATTTAAATTGTACAATTAAATTATTTATCAAATGAAATGTTAATGAAACAGGAGAGTTGCAGCCAGAAAATAAAAATAAACCCAAAACCTTCAGTAAAAAAGTGCAAACTAAATTACAATGATATTTTATGACTTATAGCTATGTCATAGCTTAATTTGTGAAAGCTTTAGAATGGGTCAAATTCCTCCAATGGGAATTTTTCTTTCTTTCTATAAACTATAATTAGTCAAATATGACTTCAAAGGTTAGTTATTTTCAAAAGCTTGAATGTTTTAATATTTTGAATGTTTGAGTGCAGAATACTAACAGACTAAACACTTAGGGTTTTTATAAGTTCACTAGCTACTTTTGCCTCCATGACTTTTTTTTGGTAGGACTGGAGTTTGAACTCAGGGCTTTGCACTTGCAAAACAGGCACTCTACCACTTGAGCCATGCACCCAGTCTGACATTTAATAACTTTTAATTTTTTTGT